GGGCCGCCCCCGGCGCCGCCCCTGGCACAGCCCGCCCCTAAAGACAGCAACCCGCAGGCACCTGAGGAAATCATCCTTCGTGCATCCTCTCCTCGGCCCCCAGCCAGTCCCAGAACCTGCTGCCGCAAGACTGTCCATCTAAGCTCAACACACCCTCCACATGCCATCTGGACAGCCCCTCCGCCCAACCCTTCCCCCGCAGGTTGTGCCAAGGCAGCTCCATCATACACAACTGACCCCTGGAGGTATGACCAGCCAAAAAAAGTTCCCCACCTCTGCCTCCTTGGTCTCCCCCTTGTGGTGGCGCCAGAACCTACCCAGCTCCGAGAGAGGCCCAACTGGCTCCTACCCATATATCTTTTTCCATATTTCTTCCCTCATTGCGCCCTACCTAGAAAGGACCCTCTACCACCTCTTGCCCAGTTGACACGTTTTCCACCTGCCACCTGGATATGGTGATGCCCAGACCCTTCCACAGTTGGTTTCTATGCCCAGGGTACCCTTACTGTCCACCACAGCCAATACACAGGTAACTCCACCTCCCAGGAATTGCCTCCTGGGTGGGGGTGGGGGTGGAATGAGATGAAGGGATGCTTCGGGCCCCTAGTCTCAGATTCCATAGAGCTCTGAAAAAGTACTGTGAGGGGAATGATGGGACCCTGGTGCCAGGGGCAACCTGCACATCTGACTTGAAGTGGGAAAAGCAACCAAGCTGGGTGCGCCCATGCAAGCTGGGTGTGGTGGTGATACTACTTTGGGATAGTCAAGTTGTCCTAGGAAGACGGCCTTATAGAGGTTAATATCTCCAGCATATAGGACTTGGGAATTCTGCCTTCAGCCCTGGCATTTTCTGGTAGAGGTCATCTTGTTCTATCAGAGGTAGGGGAGCAGGGAGCATGAAGCAGTGATTAAACCACAGTCCTGCCTCCCTCCTGTGCAAACTGGGAGGAAGAGCATATAGAATAATAGTTCCTTTAGTCTTGGCAAAGGCGAGGGATTATAGAGTTGTGAAAGAAATAAACAAGAATGGGGAGGAGGTGGTATATTTTCCCAACCCAAGGACAGCATTTTAGCTTTCATACTTCCTACAAATCTGGAAAATGATGGAAGGTTTTGCCTTCTACCACACACCTCTTTATGATCCCTTCACTTTCGTATTGCCTATAAACCTAGATCTCCCCACATTAGAACTCACAGGGACTATGAGTTGTTCATTTCAGTTTCCCAATAACCCACCAATGGCCTGACACATAGTGAAAGATAAAGCTTTATTTAAAAAGCTCAAAGGTCCACCATTCTAGATCTTCATCTACCTCTGGATCCCACCTTTATACTTTCATTTTCTTTTTCTTTCTCCCTTCCTTCCTTCCTTCCTTCCTTCCTTCCTTCCTTCCTTCCTTCCTTCCTTTCTTCCTTTCTTTCTTTCTTTTCTTTCTTTGTTTTGTTGGTGGTGGTGTTGTTTTTTCCTATAGCATGTGTTCTCTGGAGAGAGACAAAGACAGGGTTGGGGGAGTGATTTCTCCCCCTGGGGGGGGATGACCACACTGTAATCCCTTTTCTTGCATTCCCCTCTTGGTATTTTGTGCACCCATGAACACACACCCAATGTGATTTTGAAGCCTCAGGGTCTAGGACTCTAACCTCAGAGTCAGCTATGTGGGATCCAGCACCTTAACCTCCATGCCAATTCTGGCCCCATCCCACCTGTATTCTTTCCATCTTCCCCTATTTCTTTTTCTTTACTTAACTTTCTTATCTGTATCTACTTCCCTGAAAAAATAGCATCCCTCATTTTCTCTACTTCTACTTCCTAATTCTACAAGGTAGTATTTCCTTTCCAACTTTATTTGTTCTCTTTTTCCAAAGTCTCCCCTACTTTATTCCCTCTTGCTGCTCTGTTTAAACACACACATACACACACAAACTTAATCTTTTTTTTTTTTTGGAGAGATTTTCACTGTAGGGCGCGTGCGCTCTCCAGACAGACAGAGAGAGACATAGAGACAGAAAGCGAGAAATCACCCCCCAGGGGCGATGGTCACGCCGCAATCCCTTCTCCTCCATTCTCCTCTCGGGATCTTGGGCACGCACGCACACGCGCCCGGCGTGAGTTTTAAGCCACCGGGTCTGGGACACAAACCGCAGTCGACTACATGGGAGTCCAGTGACATAGCCATTATGCTAACTGCTGGTTCCCAAACTTAATCTTAATGAAGTATTTTGTCTTGTTTTTAAAGAACTACTTAAATTACTTTTTTAATTATTATTATTTTAATTTGCTATAGGGCATGTGAACAGAGAGAGAGAAAGGGAAAGTATGAAAACAAGCCACCAGGTCTGGGACTTGAACCATGGTCTGCCATGTGAGAGTCCAGTACCTTAACCACCATGCTACCTGCTGGTTCCACTTTGTCTCTTTTTATTGTAAGCTTAGACCAAAGTTCTTTCCTATAGAAAATTCCACATTCCTCCAGAATTTGTGTGTGTGTTACTGTGTATTCAAGACAATGAGTCCTTTAAAAAAAAAATAGCTATAACGCGTGTGCACTCACCAGAGAGAGAGAAAAAGTGAGAAAGCATCACCAGGGGTATGACCATGCCACAATCCTTTCTCCTCCATTCTCCTCTCAGGTTTTTGGGCAAGCATGTACAGGTGCTTGGCACGTTTTTCAAGTGACAAGTCTGGAACTCATACTCTGCAGTTGGCATTGTGGGATCCAACCACCTTAACCACCACACCGTCAACGTGCCCAACGATGTGTTCTTTTATGCAAGGTGATCAACTATATGTATTACCAGAATCATATCTTTATTCATTCATTTAGCTCACATTTTCTATGCACCTACTCTGTGCTAAGCTTCATGTTAGGTCCTAAATTTATAGAGATGTATAAGTCAATTTCGCTACCATCAAGAATGCCACAGAACAAGGGGTGGGGAAAGGGGAATAGCAGACAATAGGACAAAGTTGCACAACAATGTTTCAAGAGGGTTGTGTATAAGGTGCCTTGGGAATGAGGAAGAAGCTCACAGTCCTTATGGAGCAGATATGAAATGGTCATGAAACATTTCACCCAAAGATGACAGTTGAACTGAGTCTTGAAAAATGACTAGGAGTTTTTCAGGAAAACAAGAATAGAGAAACTATATGGAAGATGAATAATTTACTTTGAATTCTTAATTTGTGCCTCCTTTCTCTTGTAATGACATCTTTTTAAAGAAAAATAGTGTTTAAGATAGCTCCAAGAAAGTTCTCCTTCCTAATGGCTTCAGGGGTAATTCTGGTTGGCTTTGCTTGAATCACACATAACACCCTGAACTAATCACCATGACCAGTTAAATAATGTATTCTAATTGGCTAGCTTGGGTCATGTGCTCACTCCCCCCCCTTTTTTTTTCCATAGAGGGAGAAGAATCATGTGTACCTGATAGGAAAGGTATGGTGCCTAAAGTTTAAGATTCCAGGAAAGACATAGGGAAAAAAATAACCTGACAACTACCTGTATACAAGCATTTCTAATATAAAATAATATATTCAATTTTTAAAATCTCTCATTTTGCAAAATCATACACTAAAACTAATAAAGTTTATACTAAGAATAGAGTTGGGGTAGATCATTCAAAACTTATACAACTTTGGGGACCAGAAGATAGTGTAATGATTACATTGCTGGACTCCCACGTAGTCTACCATGGTTCAAGTCCTGGACCCAGCAGCTTAAAACTCATGCTGGGTATGTGTGCATGCGTGTCCAAAATCCCTAGAGGAGAATAGAAGAGAGGGGACTGTGGCATGGCCATCCCCCAGGGGTGATTTTTTGCTTTCTGTCTCCCTCTGTCTCTCCAGTAAGTTCACACTCCCTGTAGCAAAAATCTCTAAAAAAAAAATACAATTTTGCAGAGCCCTAACAATATGTGTATGTGGTGTGTGTGTGTGTGTGTGTGTGTGTGTGTGTGTATGTGTGTTCAGAAGATGACTTAAACAGCCTAGATACACAGCTTAGTATGGTTACAGGTTGCCACAGGGGTTATTAAAAATGCAAGAAGCCAATAAAGATAAAATTCTGGCCTGAGAGAGCTGATGGAAGTGGAACTCTAAGACAGTGAGGCTGCCGTTAATATAGGTACAGGAAGAAGTGCGATCTGCCTAAGGCAAGAATCCAGCAAAGCTAGGAGTATAACTCCTTGGAGAAGAAGCCCTAGGTGCAGAATCTCACTTTTAATTTTTTTAAAGCTAAAAGGGCTCCTGACTGTACAGTAGCTAAGCTAAGGGCTTTTTCCTTTCATGTTGAAGATTGTAATTCTACTCCAGTACAACTTCCACATTATATTGACATTGCTCTCCTATTTGCAATTGCATATAAACTATTTGTTATACAAAGTGTTATAGCAAGAGACTGTGTTTATTTATTACCTATGAAATATTCACTAAGGGCCCAGCCTCTGTGGCACGGTAGCATACCAGACTGCAGAGCTGGAAGCCACATGCCAACTATTCCTTGGCCTGAAAACTCATCGTGTGCATGCACACATGCCCAGGATCCTGGCAGGCTGCAGGACTGGAGGAAGAGGATCACACTGTAACTGAGCCCTATGGAGATTGCTTCTCTCTCTTTCTCTGTCTTTCTTTCTCTGTTCCTCTCTCACACACACATGCAGATGATCTATCATGAACAACAACAAAGAAAAATATTAAGCACCTATGATCTTATCCAGAGTCATTTTTAAACATTCCGGTTATTCTCTAATGACTCCCAAATTTTTATCTCGGGTCTGGATATTTACCCTGAACTCCAGAGACTTACTCAGAAACCTGCACAGTATCATTGGCTGGAGGACTAGTAGAAATCTCAAACTTGTGTTAGTCAAACCGTAATCTTGTTATTCCCCCCAAGGTCTGCACCTTTTGAGGTCTACTCCA